GGCCAGCAAGTCGAAGTGCCCATATACTTACGCAAATGGACTGTTTATAACAATACAAGGTTTAATTAACTCGAAAACTTAATCACCCTCAAGGTATTTCGTTTGATTATAACGTATACTTACTCAAACATGTTTTCAATTGCTCTAAATCACGAACATAAGAAATTTATCACAACAAGTTTTTATAATTAAGAAGGGTCATATTTCTCGCGTAATTTCAGATGCCAACAAGGATCTTTTCACTACTTAATTGTATTTGAATTAATTGCTTAAACGGATGGATTCTACCCCAATACTAGCTGTAGAGAAACTAGAATAGCAACGTTATATTGACTGTCCTAGAGTTTAGCTATGTAGCAGGAAATATTGGTTCACCTGCCCGACCTCGTGGGTTTACTCCGGGTACTCCGGTTTCCTCCCACATTAAGACTCCCGAGCGCTAACATCCGGGCCGACAAGAGTAATTAAAAAGTTGTAATAACTTGTTTCATAATTGTTGTGAAATTTATAACGTGTATGTATAGCAGGAAATAATCACAGTAGGACTTATTAACATAACACTTTTTTGACAGCAGATTTAGGACTATCCGCCACAGCTTTTTCGGATAACACTAAATCATGAACAATAAAGGCATACAATGTACCTATGTCTCCTGAGTGAACAAGCGGGTCTTTGCGATAACCTTTAAAAGTAATTTAACATTTCGTTCAGTTGTAAAACTTATCATAAAGTGTAATAAAAGTTTTATCTAGACCTTGTATTTGTAGATTGTAAATCTTGTTTATATTTATATGCATATTCTCAATTAAAAAATATCGTGTGATAAATTGTATGGATAGTTTAATATGACCTGACCCAGGACATGACTCCGGTACCCGAACTATAATATATTAGGTACAGCCAATAAATACAACGACTGCAGCGGTGTAGGTCACGTAGCTCGATATATACAATGGTATACCAAAATTAATCCCAACATGTAAATTACGTAGTGTCTTGTAAACAAGACAAATTCTTTCAGTAAATCACTGCTAGGTTTAAAACTTACAATCAGCCAAACTTGTCAGTTAAAAACAACCCCGGTAAACTAAGACATAAATATCTGGTTGAAAAAAAGTTGCAAATTCTTTTTCTTAGACATCAAAATATTAGTAAGGCAAAAAGACTGAATGTATCTACCGCAATTCACCCCCAACCAAACACTACAGTTTGTTAAAATGGTTATATCACTATAAAACACTATTATATTCTCCTACAGTTTGTCAAAATAGTCATCTCACTATAAAACACTATTATATTTTCCTACAGTTTGTCAAAATAGTCATCTCACTATAAAACACTATTTTATTTCCTTCAGTTTGTCAAAATGGTCATATCACTATAAAACACTATTGTCTTTTCCTACAGTTTGTCAAAATAGTCATCTCACTATAAAACACTATTTTATTTCCCTACATTTTGTCAAAATAGTCATCTCATTATAAAACACTATTATATTTTTACCTACAGTTTGTCAAAATGGTCATATCACTATAAAAACACTTATTATATTTTCCTTCAGTTTGTCAAAATGGTCATATCACTATAAAACACTTATTATATTTTCCTACAGCTTGTCAAAATGGTCATATCACTATAAAACACTATTATGTTTTCCTACATCAAGACAGCAAGACAGCTTAACAGAAACATTATAACGAGTATTCTGACATTGAAGTACATGTATTACTAGGAAATAACGTATCATTGTCATACTACTAGGTATATATATAGGATCTTACATTAGTTTCCATTTCATATAAGATTTATGAAACGAGTCTAAGAACTTTTCAATTACGCGAGTTTCTGCTGAGCTCAAGTGAAAAATTCGTGACAGGTTTCATAAATTTCATATGGAATGAGTGTAAGATCCTTTTTATCACATAATCAGGATTTGTGGCATTTATTCGTGTAAAACAACAATTTTCATGCAACCTTGAAATGTAAGAATCCGCCATTTTGACTCCAGTGCGTAGGTCTGTGACGTCATGTAATTGTCCTAGCGTGATGTCACAATTGAAACAATTGAAACTTAAAACCAATCACAGGGCTTATAGGTCATATTACATGGGGTAATACTCACTGTATAACACAGTACATTATGTAATAAATCACATTCCTCCTCTCCAGAACCTGTTCTCAGTATCAGGGATCTACACAAAAAAAAGGGATTCGCCAATTCAGGACCTTTTTTATGATCAGGGTTTACATGTCTATGTTATTTCAGTATTGCAGAGCATGCCCCAAGTATCAGCAATGGACATATCATTGTTATTTAAAGCCAGTTTTAATTATCAGTATAATGATAATACAGAGTATGCTTTAATTGTTATTTGGTTACATGCCGTAGTTAATTCTTTACACAAGAACCGGTTCTGTTTTACTCGATGCTTCTTTTTCATAACAGTGCACAACATTATTTGTAGATAACAATGACAACAGGATCTGTAAATAGAGTGTGTTTTCATAGTTTATTCTTGAAGATAGTCATACATGCCAATTTAAGCTGTAACATGAAGGGAGGGTTTTCCTCTAAACCTAATGGCGATATTTGTTGTTGTTGTAACACGTTTATCAATGAGTTTATACAGTTATATCGATAAATACTAGTATTAGGTAGATCGCAAGGGTGACTGTCATAAATCTGTGATAGAGTTATCATTCGAGTGTAAGGTTAACGCCTGTTTTGGAGAAAATCAATCTTTGCATTAATGCCATCAAAAGAGAACATACATGTACTAACAAAAATATAAGCATAGCCCTACATGAATGCAGTGTTTGATGTTTTCTATTTCTAGAACCAATAGATCAAACCAATAGATCAAACCAATATGTAAACATTTCGGCCCAAAGTTTAAATGCACACTAACATAATATACAATAATGTGTACACTGCCGCTCGTTGTCGATTGCAATGCGTTTGTATCAATTTTGTATGGGTCTCCGAACCTGTTTGTGTCTTGTCACTGATTTCTATAGCAGTAATAGTCAAAACAGGGGTAGGGTAAATACGAATTCAAATGGCTGATAGTCTGGTTTCTATGTAACTCACTAAAATATCCACACTATAAATAGCGACAGCATCAGTATGCGCATTAACGAAGCCTAAAACATCATAACCGTGTTTCTATTCCTTGTATAGTTAGACTAACTTAAACATCATAACCGTGTTTCTATTCCTTGTATAGTTAGACTAACCAAAACATTATAACCGTGTTTCTACTCCTTGTATAGTTAGACTAACTAAAACATCTTACCCGTGTTTCTATTCCTTGTATAGTTAGACTAACTAAAACATCTTACACGTGTTTCTATTCCTTGTATAGTTAGACTAAATAAAACATCATACCCGTGTTTCTATTCCTTGTATAGTTAGACTACCTAAAACATCATAACCGTGTTTCTATTCCTTGTATACTTAGACTAACTAAAACATCATAACCGTGTTTTTATTCCTTGTATAGTTAGACTAACTAAAACATCATAATCGTGTTTCTATTCCTTGTATAGTTAGACTAACTAAAATATCATAACCGTGTTTCTATTCCTTGTATAGTTAAACTAACTAAAACATCATAACCGTGTTTCTATTACTTGTATAGTTAGACTAACTAAAACATCATATCCGTGTTTCTACTCCTTGTATAGTTAGACTAACCAAAACATTAGAACCGTGTTTCTACTCCTTGTATAGTTAGACTAACCAAAACATTAGAACCGTGTTTCTACTCCTTGTATAGTTAGACTAACTAAAACATCAGACTCGTGTTTCTATTCCTTGTATAGTTAGACTAACTAAAATATCATAACCGTGTTTCTATTCCTTGTATAGTTAGACTAACTAAAATATCATAACCGCGTTTCTATTCCTTGTATAGTTAGACTAACTAAAACATCTTACACGTGTTTCTATTCCTTGTATAGTTAGACTAAATAAAACATCATAACCGTGTTTCTATTCCTTGTATACTTAGACTAACTAAAACATCATAACCGTGTTTTTATTCCTTGTATAGTTAGACTAACTAAAACATCTTACACGTGTTTCTATTCCTTGTATAGTTAGACTAACTTAAACATCATAACCGTGTTTTTATTCCTTGTATAGTTAGACTAACCAAAACATTAGAACCGTGTTTCTACTCCTTGTATAGTTAGACTAACCAAAACATTAGAACCGTGTTTCTACTCCTTGTATAGTTAGACTAACTAAAACATCTTACCCGTGTTTCTATTCCTTGTATAGTTAGATTAACTAAAACATCATAACCGTGTTTCTATTCCTCGTATAGTTAGACTAACTAAAATATCATAACCGCGTTTCTATTCCTTGTATAGTTAGACTAACTTAAACATCATAACCGTGTTTTTATTCCTTGTATAGTTAGACTAACTAAAACATCATAACCGTGTTTCTATTCCTTGTATAGTTAGACTAACTAAAATATCATAACCGTGTTTCTATTCCTTGTATAGTAAGAATTACTAAATGTCAAGCAAAAATCATATACAAACAATCATAACAAAGATTGAACTAATAAAACGTTATAGTTTATACGATACAGAATCCCTTTTCGGGATATGAATAATTGAATTGAATTGAATGATAATGAAAATGAGTAGTTTATACGATATAGAATCCCCTTACGGGATATGCATATATGAGTACAGTTATCGACGTCCTTGTTATGTAATTAACATGTGTAGCCACAAAATATTCATGATTAAAACACACTTTTGTGCTATAGCATGTCTTTTGTATACACCCCATTACATGTACATTTGTATACCTATATAGCTACACGTTTGTCGATGACTGTGTAATTCTGGGTACTCACGTACCATATCTACACCATTGTGACCCGAGTTATTTGTGTATGCGTTACCTGTACAGATAAAAATCCATACACCCGACAAGGTACCCTTTATAACTTCCTGGTCATTTTGTAAATACACACAGCTCGCCGACGTGCTTACGGAGCCTCTGGGAGGACCGGACGACTTTGGGCCTTTAGACCTATCTCTAAGGAACATGGAGGAGACCTCGCCAGATGTGTACCCAAGAGGGCTAGCAGAGGAAGACTTCCTCAATCCAAATGCCTTGGAAAATGAAAATGATGGCTTTAATGGAGGTAGGTCTATTTTGTTGTTGTTTTTATAGTAGTATTTATCCTTCCTTGTCAAAACGAAAGTAGAATGTGTACATGTATATACACGCTGGTGATGTACCTGGCCTTACAAATGCAACCTGATAATAACGTTTTTAAATTGGCTGAAAAGCAGTGTAGTATTTTTATGTGTGCGGGTACATAGATATTTCCACCAAACAAAATCAATTTTATAAACGTGTTTTATTTTTTTATGTAAGTAAATTATTAATAGGACTAAATCATTTTGATAATATTTGTGTCACTCTATCCTATCTTTAACTTTATAGGATTTGTCTTTAACTTTATAAGATTTGTTATGAAATTGTATATAAAGTTTACATAATTATGGTAAATTCAACTTTTTCATCCTATCTATATCTCTATAAGAAATGCTATTTGTAAACTTGTTAATGCTATCATACTGGAAAGTTCACCTATTCAATCCTATAAATAACTTTCGAAAAAAATAAATACAATTACTGCAAGTTCTCCTTTTCAATCCTATCAATTACTTTAATAGTTTGGTTGTTTAGGTAGTTGTGATAGTCTCCCTTTTTAGTTATAGCTTATAACTTAATTATATTTTTTCATTCGTTTATATAAAGTTCTTTATGTTTGTTCATAACATTATGATAGTTTCGGATATGAATCAATATTTTGGTATGAATAAATATGGTAAGTTTGTTGTGAACACAAACAATATTTGAAAACAGATATTGCGAGCTTTCGAAAACGTCCGTTTCCTTTGTTCAAACAAAGCCTATATGAAGATTTCCCATTTTAACATATCTATCATTTTGTTAGATGTGTTATTTATATAAGTGTGATAATCTCCCTTTTAAACAATGTTGTACAATTGTTTTGATTTAATGTTTATGTAATTGTGGTAGGTACCTTTTTATGTCTTTGTTAGCATTGTAAAATCAGTTCAAACCGCGTCCATCCCATACTCCCCCGTTGCTTAGAGTTTATCATGTAAATGCTTGTATCCAGTAAATGCATTTTGCTGAGATATAACCTTGACTAAATTGAAAATACTTTTTAACACAACTGTGTCTTGCAACGTTTGTTTACTATATACTGTACGTTTGTTTACTATATACTGTATGTTTGTTTACTATATACTGTACGTTTGTTTACTATATACTGTACGTTTGTTTACTATATACTGTACGTTTGTTTACTATATGCTGTACGTTTGTTTACTATATGCTGAACGTTTGTTTACTATATGCTGTACGTTTGTTTACTATATGCTGTACGTTTGTTTACTATAT